GCCATCGCCGCCAGCGGCGGAGGCATCATATATAGAAGGCAACATGGGGCCCACGAGCCAACTGATCTGGCAAGGCTATAAGTTGAGATCTAGCGACACCGGCATCGACATCGGAGGCGGCAGCAGCGGATTCACGCAGAGATGGGGCGGGAAATCATCACAGATAAAAAAATGAGAAAGAGAGAAAAGGTATTATGGTCTTCACATGTTTAAAACTATTAAGTTTTGTGTTTTAGGGGCTCAGAAAGTAATTTCCCCTTTAACAAAAGGCATTTCTCAATCTGTCCAACATTTAATCATATATATGAATGAAATGGTTGGTTTTTTTAGGGGGGTGGGGGCGCTTACCATGAAAGCATCCCCAATGTTGATGACAAAGGTGTTAGGCTTGGGGCTAACAGTGTACCACTTCCCATCAACAAAGACTTGAAGTCCAGTTATCTCATCTTGATGCAAAATGGTGACGGAGGTCGGATCGTAGTGGGGCCCGGTCCCAAGAGTGAGGTCTGGCTTTAGGCAAGAAGGGTAGTAATTAGCCCTAAAGATTGAGTCATTATCAGAGTAAAAGTCCCTGAACCAGCGCCCAACACCAAGGCTCAACCCTAACACCTCCAATATCTCCAAAACAAGCTTGTTCATTGCGTTGGAATACTTCTGCAACACATTCCTGCATGCAAATTAACCCTTAGCAAACTCAGTCATATTTTGATTTGCTCTCTCATTATGTTCAAGTTGTATATTGTATGATAGCCTTGCGAGACTAACAAGATTTTATTACTTTTGTTACGTATGATTCAATTTCAGGATAAATTTAAAGAAACTATATTGTAATTGTTTCGAGATGTTAAAATTAATATATATAAATATTCTTGTATTCCTCGTCTTACTTTCGAGTTTAGTCTCGCATAGGCTACGTATAGAGAGTTACAGTCCTATGCACAACTATATATTTAGTGTTGAGCCTAATTGAAATACACAATATATGAGATTTTTTTCAAACTTCTAAGTTTACCATGAGAAAACGAGATGGAAAAAGTTTTTGAGTTTCTCCAAGTTCTTCTTGCTTTTTCTTGGGTTTTCTTCTGCCCACTCTTTATTTAGTCAAAGTTACTTTTTTTTTCTTTTTCTGAGTACTTTTTAGTCCAACATGAGTTGTTTTCCTTTGAGAAAACACGAATCTTAGTTTTTCAATAGCTATCACAACTCTTAAATTTTATATAGTTTATGCTGCAGTTTCATGAAATTAAAGTTTAATAAAAGTTCCAATATTTCCCTAAAAAAATAAATAAATAAATTCATTAGAAAATGATAATATTTCATATTGATTACTGTAATATTGAAGACTAATCATTTTAGCAAAAACTTTAGTTAGCCCCTCTATTGCTATGATTAAAAAATTGATTAATTAATTTTTGGGAGCAGTAGATCTCCTAATACATAAAACCTTTCGGAAAGAGTTTTAGGGAAAAAAAAACCGAGTCAACGTTGGAAAACCAAAAATTCTATGCGAGAATTGTACTGGAAATCGCGTTATTGCATCGGTTTCTTTCTTAGAAATCACCTTTAAAATACAATGATTATATAGAAACCACCTTCAAAGTTTAATTAATGCAGAAGCCACTTTTAAAGGGGTTTTCTCATTGCAATCAACCATCTTATCCTACTTTTTCATGAAATTTTAACCGGAATTCCCAAAATATCATTAATGTATATGTGTCAAAGCACTAAGTTTGATTAAGAAGTCACATAATGTGTCGACACGTGTACTTTTAAGAGTATTAGTTAGATTGCATGTGCAATGCACGTGATCGAATATTATGATTATTTAAATTGCACTAAAAGTCCTATTTCCAGTAGTGTTGATAAAAATAGAATAAAAATAAAAGAGAAAATAAATTTTTTTGCGGGATTGATTATCAACATAATAATCTCTCTTTCAAATAAAATATTGTCATTGTTTCCTTCAACCGAGACTGTCGCTACATGAGTTATAAACATATTGATCTAGTACAATATCTTTGTTTATTAGAACATTTAAGTCTTTAAAAGATGGGTGATCATTCAATTCGCAAAGAAATTTTGCATATGAATTTACTTGCAATATGTCTATTAAATTTTTAGTTGTGGTTTGACTCATATTCACATTAACGTTTAGTTGTGATTTCACTCATATTTACATTATCTAATATTCTCATTCAATTTTATAGCTCATTCTCCATACCATAGAAGTAAAACTAAAAGTATGAAGAATTATTTTTTTGTAAAATTAGAGCAGGGAGATCATGATATATTTCGTCATGTACTTTAAATATAAAAAAATCTCTTTGATGCAAGGTCTCTATCAAATCTCACCCAAACAATGTGAATGGAAAATGCTATTATAACTCACTTGTTTGGAGCAATTATATTGTATATAGGACATAACAATAGTCTCATGTATTTTCTGGTTTTGATTGTAAAATACGCAAGAGTGGTAGTCCTGTGTATTTTCTGACTTTAATTACTTTTGTAATTAATATTCTCTAATTATACGGGACTATTAGTACCATGTATTTTAAAGATGATTTTTATACAAAATCGACCTCTTTGTTGTCAGTCTTGATGGTGTGGCAAAAAAGAGGTCAATTTTGTTAATTATTATGTAAAACAATTGATTTTGCTAATATTTTTAAAAAGTGATCTTTTCAAAAATTCTCCTAAAATAAAATGTTAATTCAAAATATGAAATGGGTAAAAAGATCAAAACATTCTAGTGATTAATTGACCCATAAATAGGAAAAATAACAATTAAAATATAAATATATTTAAATTAAATCTAACAAGGCACTTCACAGAATGAAGCATGAAATGGATCCAAGAAATTATTAAAAAAGAATTAATAAACTAATTTAAAAAAATATGAGGTCGAGGGATAGAGGGAGAGAAGACCTCACCAACATGAATTTTATTTCTCTTCGAGTGTGACAGAAAAATTAGTGGAGAATGAGCAAGGAGAAAAGTGAACAGAATAAGTGACAGAATGGGCGTGCTTATATAAATAGGTTATTAAGATATTCGTCCTGAAATCTTAAATACATACATGTTAGTCCCTAATATTTTTGTAATTGCTCATTTACAATGATATTACTATTCAGTATTAAATTAATTTTATTATATAAGATTACATACCCTTTTTAATAAATTATAAAGTATATATATGGAAACCTCGATGCTTATAACCAGTAGTTGGGCTCCACAAAATATGTTAACTTTACATTATAGTTTGCTATTGGTAATACTGTTAGCAATATCATTACTTTTCCTCTTTATCTTATTATTTATAATTTTCTGATGTAAGTCCTCTTTTGTTAGTCATTCAATTGGCTATATTTTATTTTTATAATATCAAAAATTAGAATATTCTTTTTTGTTTAAAAAGTATCGACATGATTTTCTTAAAAAGATATACATATAGTAGTAATAGTATATATTTTAGTTCAACTCAAACATTAGGTTGAAATCATTTAGAATGAGGTCCTTTCTACGCTAGAATGGTGACATAGTGATTACATAATCCAAAAGCCAAAGAAAAAAGTTTTATAAAGGAAAAATAATTTAATATGTTACATTAACAACTATTTTATAAAATATACATGGGCAGTACAGAGAGTTATAGAAAGTAAGGTATATATCTTCATAAAAATTCTATAGTGAGTGACCAACTACATTCATCCTAATTTAAACATAAATAATTATTATTTTAGTTACTAATTTGATACGCGTAACTATAAAATAAATCTCAAGCAAAAAATAAGAATTAAAATTGTATTATCCTGTAGGTAAATAAATAAATATAATTTAAAAGTAATAATTTAAATTATTAAGTGTTAAATATTAGTTCATGCGAGAAAGTAAAGTAATTTATGGTTTATATACATATATAGTCAATCGATTAAACGTATTAAAATTATAGTGATCACAGTTAAAATTATATGGTGGGTTCATATTAAATATAATTTATAAAAAATAGTACATTAAAGTCAAAAACTTTTTAACCACTATATAGATTCTTTAAAAAAATTTGCATGTATAAACTATAATGCCTATGAATAGTGTTGTGCACACTTTTTCTTGGTCAATGAAAAATCTTTATTCATTTACCAATATGAAAAATGTGTACATCAAGATTCTCAGTATTGAGAAAGCAACCTGGATAAACAAATATCCAGTTTTAGACTAATTGTACATGTGCTTTATCTATCTGTACATATCTTACAAAGAAAAAAGCCAAGCTTCATTCTCAGTTTTTAAAGGTGAGTTAAGAAGAGCAGTCATTATATCAACTTTGATATTCTTAACCAAAACCTCCACAGTTTTGTGCTTTTGCTGAAAAATCCTCTTATTTCATTCACTCCAAATCAAGTAGATAGCTGTTGAGAAAGCCATCCTTTTAACTCTTTGTTTAAACCCACTTCCTCTGAGTCTTGAATAGAACCAGTCTATCAGCAATTCCCAGTTACAAGCCTTCTATGAGAATTGAAGCCAGTCCATAACACAATTCCATACATCCCTTGAAAATGTACACTCAAAAAACATATGATTCCTGCTCTCCAGATGTGCACCGGTGCTTAATACACAATTATTTGAAGTTGTGATACCTCTCTTTAATAATCTGTCTTGAGTAAGCAGATTGTTATTTACAGCTAGCCAGCTGATAAATGTGTGCTTTGGATAGCACAAACCATCCCAAATCACCTTGTGCCATTGGACATTACTAATAACTGGATTAAGAGCATGATACAAGGCTGATATCTTCACATTTGATCCCCTAAAGCAAGATTTAATCAGGGAAATCAAGTTTCCAACACCTCCACAAGAGATTGCAGTCTTGTCTCTTGCTTTCATTAACTGTTTCCACATCCAAGAGTCTCCACTTCTTACATTAATATGCCAAACATCCCTTTGTTTCAAGTAAGTACCATGAATCCATTTGATCCACATCAACTCTCTGTTAACATGAATATACCATAGATTTTTTAGAGCAGCAGCCAAATTTCAGATTGTGACAGAAAATATACCAAGACCACCCTGTTTCTTACTTAGACAGACTTTATCCCAAGAGACTAAGGGAATTTTATGTATATGGCTTGTCTTTCCCCACAAAAAGCTCCTACATATCTCATCAATTTTTTGTGTAACTCTTACTGGCAGGATATAATTTGAAGTCCAAAAAATTTAAACTCCTAAAATGACACTTTTGATTACTTGTAACCTTCCTGCATATCAGATCTTTCAGTTTTTATTTCATGCCTAAATCTGACTAGAGACCTTACTGATGAGTGAATTACAATCCTCATAGGATAATCTTTTGCAAATCAGAGGGACACCAAGATATCTGATAGGAAAAGAGCCCTCAGAAAGACGATGAGCTCTCATAGTTTCTTTTACAGAGACCTCAACCCCCCCAAAGAAAACTGTGGATTTTTCTTTATTCATTTGAAGTCCTGAGATTTCACCAAACTTTGTAACACACTGATAAAGTTTCATCATAGTATATAAGTCACCTTTCCCAAAGAGCAGTAAATCATCTGCAAATATTAAGTGTGTAATTTTTAATTTACCACACTTGGGATGATATTTGAACCGCTTATCATACTCAGAAGACCCAAAGTCCTTGAAAGATACTTCATTCCCAAAATAAAGAGGTATGGGGAGAGTGGATCCCTTTGTCTCAATCCCCTTTCCCCCTTGAAATATCCATGCAGTGCTCCATTAAGAGAAATAGAGTAAATGTTGTGCACACTTAACTATAGCTTAATATATCTTAAAAACAACTTACTCTTCAATATCATTATTAATTGATGTATCTATACATTACACTAAAACACAATAAAACTTTAGAAAACTATAACAGAAATACCCTCAAAAGTTTTTAAAATTGTAAAAACAAACACCCTAAACTTTTATAAGTTACAAATACACAAAACTATTAAAAATTACATCAAAATCAAGGAACTACAAAAAATTATTAAAAATTTTTAAACTTAGGAGGGGTAATTTGCAATGTACTAAACTTTAAGTTTGTTTTTCAGTAAATTTCAAATCTATTAGATTTTTAATTAGTTATGATCTTTTTAAAAAATTTATGGGTAATATTGACCATAAATTTTTTTCCTAAACCTATACTTTTAAAGCGAGTATGATATTTTTTTATAAATTTTTTATTTTTTAGAGGTTGCTAGTAATTTTGTATATTCATTTTAGTGTCTATAACTTAGAAATTCCCATGGTGTTTTTTATAAATTATGAATATTAGGGGGGGTTTGTAATTTTTAAACTTATAGGCTTTTTTATAAATTGTAAATTATCTATAGACTATTTATAATTCCCATATTTTCAATTTACTAATGAGTTTGAAATTCTCAGGGTGTTTTTTATAAAATTTGAAATTTGAATGTTAATTTGTTTATAGTTTTTGAAACTTTAAGGGTGTTTCCTATAAATTATAAATTATACAGAGGATATTTATAACTCTTATATTTTTAATGTACTGTTAGATTGGAAATTATCAGGTTTTTTATAAATTTTATAATCTTAAGGGTTTTATCTTGCATTTTATAAAAAGTTTAGAGTGTTTATTGTAAATTTTATAAATTTTTGGGGGTTATTTGTGTTATTTGTAGGTTTTTAGTGTGTGTATAGGTTTGAAAATTTTAAGGTATTTTTTACAAATTTTGAATTTTAAGAGTGTTTTTGTATTTTTTAAAACTTACAAAATACTTTCTCCAATGTCAAAAGCTTTCATTTTTTTTAGCTAGCATATATTTTTTAGATTTTTCACTGAATTTAAATAAGTAAAATTTATAATTTTCAAGATATTTTAATAAAATTTTGAATTTGTAGGGGTGTTTTTATAATTTAAAAATTTAGAGGGTATTTTTTACAAGGTCCAAAATTTTTTAGGTGCTGGCTAGCATATATTTTTTAGATTTCTCTGCAAACTAAAATAAATAAAAAAATTAAATTATATCAAACATATCACATTTATCCAATAACATGTTAAGTCTCATTATGGATAGGATAAATCATTTAATTATAAATTTAAAAAAGATAGAAAAATTAGAATAGATTAGGATAACAATATAATATTTAAAAAAAATTAAGGATAATATTGACCATGGAAAGATTTTCCCCAACTCGTATTTTTAAAGGAAGTATGATTTTAAAATTTCAGTCGAAATTTTCGCAAAAAATAGGCCAAAATGTCTGATTTCAAGGTTAAAGGTTATTTCTATATTAGTTTAATTTTGAAGGCGATTTTCATACTACGGTGATTTATGTGAGAAAATCCTAAATAAAAGTGGTCTGATGAAGTTAATTTATACTTAAGAAAAGAGATGCCAAGCAACATATATACGCACCCATATTGTTGGAAGTCATCACCCAAGGTCTTCACGATGTACTCCTCGGCAGCATTAGTAGGAATCGACAGTGTCTCCTTCCACGGCAAATTCGAAGCAAACCTCCCCGTAAAACTACTCGCATACCCAAATATCTCCCCAGCTTTTCTCTTAACCCTCTCCTTCTCTTCCAAACTCATCCTGAAGAACCCCTCGGTCCTTCTCTGCGCCTCCTCCAACAAACCCTCATCAACCCCATGATTGGTGAGCAGAAAGAACCCGTGCTTTGCACACGCTTCTCCGACTTGCTTGGCGATCTCAAGGGCAGTTTCGTCATTTCCGGAGAAAAAACTAGCCAGATCGATGACGGGAAGATCGAGCTCGTCGAAGGAATCGGAGGTTGGTCGGTCCTTTTCAGACCAGACGAGCTCGGTGGGGATGTCAGGCTTGCGGCTGAGGACGGAGGCGTCAAACACCAAAGGCTGCATTGTTTGAGTCGCCATAGAAAATGAGCGGCGCGCGGGTGGTATGGAGATTTTTGTATTGGTTCTTGGATGAAGAGACGTGAAGGAGAATGAGAACGTAACAAGGAGTACTGAAGTGAGAGAGAGAGAGAGAGAGAGAGAGAGAGAGAGAGGAAAGGGACCAGTGAATCTTTGGAAGGTTCAGAGAGAGAGAGAGAGAGAGAGAGAGAGAGAGAGAGAGAGAGAGAGAGAGAGAGAGAGAGAGAGAGAGAGAGAGAGAGAGAGAGAGAGAGACGGTCCGGAAATCCGGGTCAGGCATGGTTCTGAATCCGGGTACGGGCCGCCTCGTCGGCGCCCGGCCCGGGCCTGACCTGGTCCGGACAAAAATATTGTCCAGGCAAAATATTCGGGCCGGGCAGCCTGATCGTAACAGTCATCTAAGATGACTGTTGCGGGTAAAAGCCGGGCCGGGTTTACCGGGCCGGGCCAACCCGGCCCGGCCCGGTATTAACGGTCACATTTGTGACCGTTTTTGCCAAAATGACCGTTGTGGCCGGGCCGGGCCGGCATAA